CAGTGGGTGTTTTCACATATATGTGTATGTGTGTGAACATATGTCCACCTGTGTGTTAGAACTCTTGACTTTAAATATTGGCCAGGGACACAACATCAAGACCTCGTGACTCCACAAATGCTCAACACCCAGAAAAGTGGAGGTCATCTTTGACTCCTATTGTTCTTGAGTCTCATGCCAACCTATCAGCTCATTCTGGCTCTTCTATCTCCAGCATATATCTCAGATGCATCCACTTCTCTTTACTTCCATTGCTCCAATATCAGCCTTCATTATCCATTGTTGCATGTATACTCCAGGCACCCCCATTCTATTCCTGTTCTCTGCAATGCACTCTCCACACAGCAGTAATCTGACAGTGTAAATCACACCATGAAATCCCCTGCTGAAAACCTTTCAGTGGCTACCAATTTTACTGAGTATGTAATCCAAACTGTTTACAATATAGCTTTCAAGGCTCTGCAGCATCTGGCTTACTTATTTCTCAGACCTCAGGTTATGTTACCCATCTTCACCTGCTGCTCTTTGACCAAGCCAAGGTGCTTCTCCACTCAAGGTTTTTGCGCTTGCTGTGTGCCCTCTCCCTGCATTGTGCAACCTTCTCACCCTTCCAGTTTTGGCTATGTCACCTCCTCCAGAGGTCACCTAAGTAATTTCCCTCTGAGGGAAGGCGGGAGAGGGTGGGTAGATGGGAAGTGATCAACCAAAGAACTTATATGCATATATGCATAACCCATGGACACAGACAATAGGGTGGTGAAGGCCTGGGGTGGAGGATCAGAGTGGGATAGAAGGGGTCAATGGGGGGGAAAAAAGGAACATATGTAATACTTTCAACAATAAAGATTATAAATAAATAAATAAATAAATAAATAAATAAATAAATAAATAAATAAATTTCCTCTGCTATTCTCTAAGGTAGCACCCTGTGAATATTTCTTTCTAGCACTTATCAGTTTTTGGAGAATTTTTGATACTTATTGAATTTGATTGTTTCTTAACTTTTGTTTGTTTTGTTAATCCTCATCTGAGGATAATTTTTCCATTGCTTTTGGGGAGTGGAGGGAGGAAAAGAGAGGGAGAGCGAGAGCGAATATAGTCGTGAGAGAGACACATCAACCAGCACCCCAACCAGGGCCAGGATCAAACCTACAACCTAGGTATGTGCCATTGACCAGGAATATAATGAACCCTCGACCCTTCAGTGTATGGGCCAACGCTCTAATCACTTAACCACACCGGCCAGGGCTGTTTCTTAACGTTTAAAATGTGTGTTTTCCCTACCAGAACATAACTTCTATGATCAGGGCCCTGTCTTGTTCATTATTCAGTCTCAAGGATCTAATACTGAAGACTGCAGAGACTGAATATGTTTATGAAAGGAAATAAATAGAAAATCATAATAGCAAATAATTCCCATAAAATGCAGTTGCTTGAGTGACCATGGTCACCTCTTGATTCTGTAAATACAAGACTTCAATCATTTACAAAGCAGTTGCTTTCTGTTAGTGGTAATTCTAAAAGAAATATTTATTTTATTATGTCAAGAGAATGACTATATCCTCTTATGAATAGGGTTCAGAGCTGCTTGGAGAGGTTGTTGGGAGATCAGTCCATAGAAGTGTCTTATTGCTTTACATACGGAAAGAACCAAATTTCTATATCCACAAAATAATGAATTACTGCATGTCAAGAGAGTTGATTTATAAGCTAAAGAGCAAATACTATATTCTCTCTGCCTACTGACTGCTCTACTACTTTGTCAAGTTGTGCTCACTGAGAACAGAAGCAAAGGCTATTCTGAATCACTTTACCAGTCTTCCAGCCAACTGATGATTGTAGGTACATTCTTCTCATAAAGAACATTAAACACTCACCCAGGTGTTTTACAAAGTTACCCAAGGATCTTGCTCAAGGTCACTGAACCAACATGTTTGTGATGTATGTTCCCAAAGCTTTTACTAGTTCTATGATCTGGACAAAATACCAACTCTTTATGACTTAATCAATAGTTTCATGAAATTCAATAATAATAACAGGAAACAAGCTTTCATTTACTGAGGGGATTTTTAAAAATGTGCTTGGCATTGTGCTAAACTTTTACAGGCATCATCACTTTTAATCCTGCCTATAAACCCATGAAATAGTGATTATAATTTCCATTTCACAAAGGAAGAAACTGAAGCTTAGTAGCCCAAGTTCACACTGTTATAAAGTGAACTTGTGTTTCAAACTGAAGTTTGTCTAACTTCATAAGTGCCAAGATAAATATGGATAGGCTAATAACAATAAATCAGAACCAGGCACAGTTTTTAAAACATGCAATGATGCATATATGTAGTTAACTTTTAAAATATTCTATATGAGAATATGGTATATTAGATTCCATTTCTGGTCCATACTACTCATTTTGCTTTGCTGGGCTCTCACATCTCTCAAATTGTCACGTTTCCTTATTTTGTTTGGTGGATTTTTCCTCCTTAAAAAAAAAAGGGTACTCACGCTTTTCTGTAACCTCTGTGAGTCAATTCAACCTCAAATCATAGTCTCCTTCTCTGCAAGAAGCGTGAGAGCCACTCCAATGTTTTGCATCATCTCACACGCACAGGGATGACGGATATAATTCTCCCAAAGAAGCAGAACAATGGGCAGCATCTGGCAGAACAACTTCTATAGACCTGGTCTGATGCTGTCTTGAAAATCATCCTCCAACTGCCCCTAAGCAATCATTCCCCCACCTGTACCAGGGCTATCTCACTGACTAGCTACCTTTAATGCCATAATAGCTGCTATCAACTTTCAGCACAGATGTAATTACTGCCGCTAATATTTTGTAAGACCAACAAGGTATAATTTTTACTTCAGGACAACTGAATGTTAATTAAAAAGTAGAGGGCCCACAAAGACATCTCTCCCCTGTTCTTTGGTAGCCCCACATCAAATTATTATCAAATGTCTCGTCTTTATAATAATTTAGTAATTAGAAAAGGTGATTGGACTAAATAGCAAAGATTTTTTTTTTAACTAACAAAAGGCAAATCAGAACAGTTAATAAGTCTTTCCCCCCAGCTACCCAGCATTCAAAGCTGCAACTGTGGCCACATTATAATTTTAGATCCCCAAACAGTGATGATTTGATGCCTAATTTTCAACACATGTTTTATTAATCCAGTCTTCTTGTGCTTCATTTAAAATATTGGAAGCTGTAAAAAGATCAACGTGCTACTCCCTTGCCAGGAAAAAGGGGGCGGGGGGGGGGGAATAAGGGAGGTGGGGAAAGAAAGAAAGAAAGAAATGAAAAAGCTAACAAACACGAAAAAAGTCCGAGCAACTGGAATCTCCGTTTTGAGGAAACACATGGGAACGAAGCATCCGCCTGGACTCTGTTACCAGCGGTCACGTGCGACCCTTCCCCTCGCTGCTGAACCCTGGATGTCGCCGGCTGCGGCAGGAGGCCGTGCGTGCAGGCCAGTGTGTGCGGCAGGGCCCTGCTGGGACGGGGCGGGAAGGGGCTTCCAGGAAGCCCCAGCTCCGCTGACTTGGCGGCCGAGATCCTGGCCTCCGCCGCCCGGGCCGCACGTAGCGCAGCGTGACTCAGCGCTGACTCACCGCCCTGCAGCTGGTGGCTTCCCCGCCAGCGCCCGCGGAGCGCTCCGCCCGGCCGCGCAGACCCCTGCTGCCTGCTCCCTTCCCGCAGGCGGGCTGTCCCGCTGCTTTGAACAGAGCGGGGCAGATTTTACAGCTTTTGAATTCTGACCAAGCAGGGAACGGACTGGCGTTGTTTTCTTTGACTTTAAGAGCTAAACAGTCCACGAATCAAATTCTTTCCGTAAAGGCTTATTGGAACAAATCCCTAACATCTCCTTCCACAATGACTTAGAGAGGACCTACACTCGGATGTTGCTTCTGTCCTACCAAGCTCAGGTCCTACTGTTGTCTCCCATTTTGTCAGGTTATCTTTTCAGTATGTTTGATGGCCATGCTTGGCACAGACCCACTATTGCGGCGATGCAAATCAGGTTGGAACTGGGCATCATGCGTGGGCCTTGAGTGACTGTAAAAAGCAGGGAACACTTCATAAAGATGTTCTTATCTGCCATCTCGGTTGCTGATAGATGCCAGGCTCATTTTCACTACCTTTGAAAGGCCCTTTAGATGGCTAAAAGCTGGATTCTGGAGTCATGCTCATTTCTTCTTGTCCAGGGTTCAACATGGAGAGCAGCAGGCAGTATTTCTGCATCAACCGCCATGGGCCGCGGCATGGAAAGTGCTGGGGATACTTGGCAAAAATGCACTGGGAACTACGGAATCCGAATGTCCTGGGGTGGGGCCTGGAAACTGATCTTATTAAGCAGCCCATCGGGGATTCCTGTGGACACGTAGGTTTGAAAACTACTGGCTAGGATGAGTGTGTGAGACATTATTCTGTGAAGACTCTTGACGAAATCTTTTCAATGGAGAACACTGTTCTAAAACTGATTTTGAAGTTCTGATATCAGACAATCATATTTCTAAAACTGGTTTATATATAGTATTGTGTTTGCTTTATTGGTATATTAATATAGATTTTTTCCTTTTAATTAGAAATTTCGGTATACAATTAAATGAGGTACCTGTAAACTTTTTTTTTTTTTATAAAATGTTTTTATTGATTTTAGAGGAAGGGGCATAGAGAGAAACATCAATCAGCTGCCTCTTGCCTGCCCCCTACTGGGGATTGAGCCCACAACCTGGGCATGTGCCCTGACTGGGAATGGAACCAGCAACCTCTCCGAGTACGGGATGATGCGCAACTAACTGAGCCATGCCAGTCAGGGCCAAGGTGCCCAATTTTCTCAGCGAACCTGTTTCAGGCAAGGGCACTGAGGGCCAGGGAAGAGAAGCCCCGAGGCTGCTCTCCTGTGCCCAGAAGTCTCGCAGGAACTAGTGCTGGAAGCTGACTCAGGTGGTGAACAAAAGGAACCCTAGGAATCCGAAAAAAGTCCAAACCCAAAGGCCTGTTTTTCTGAGAAAAGTTCCTTTGCCATCTACAGGGAGACACCCTGCAGACAGTTACTCTTTGTAGGGAAACAGTCTGTCCCTATCGCCCTCTCGTCTTCATCACAGCAAAACAAACAGCTGCTCTCCCAAGAGGGGCGGCGCCAGTCCAGTGTGGTCAAGATGACACCTGGCACGGCCGGGAGGCCCTCAGTCCCACGTGCCCGTCAGCAGTCGTCATCTTCCTCTGATTCTTCTGCTGACTCGGACGCGCTCTCTGGCAAGTCATCTCCCATCTGTTGGAACCTTCCGGACTGTGCATCCCACATGTATTTGATGGTCACCTTGAATTCAGCCATCTCATACCCGAAAAGCTTCAGGACGCGGGCCTGCTCTGGGGTCCACACATCGCCCTCCTTGCACACCTCATAGTCGGACAGCAGGGTCACTACACCCTTCCTGAGGGCGGTGGGCAGGCCGAGCTGCCTCAGCTGTGGCTCCATGGAGTGCGGGAACTGCTCCAGGGGCCCCGGGTCCAGGTTCACGGTGAACGTTGCTTTGTTTCCAGCTCGGGCATAGTCCATTTCCGCAAATTTCGTGAACCATTCATTCACTTCCTCCTTAGTGCGATTGGTGAAAAGGAGACCAACTTCACCCCTCAACTTCTTGCTGACCTGATGTAGGTTGTCTTTGTACTCATCGGCTGGGCTTCGACCTAAGGCCACCATCATCACTTCGTTTTTGCCAAAGAACATCCGGCTGTGCTTCCAGGCGTTCTGAATGTCCTTCAATTTGCTGTTCCTCATGTTGGCCACGGAGAAGATGAACAGGTACTTGTACGTGTCCACACATTTCCGAAGCTCTTCTATCAGGTTCTGTTTCAGTTCCAAGCCTTTCTTTGCAGTTTTGGTTAAGGAAACTTTCTTGTCGCGCTTGGACTTGGGCATCTCTCCACAGGCACGTGCAGCGGAAGGCCACCTGTAAACTTTTTAATTTCAGACTAATATTGCCCAAACCTGACTTGGCATTGGAATTACCCACAGAACCTTAAAACACTCCTGACCCAGACCCCAAACCTAAAGAAACATTTCTTTGAAGGTGAAGCCCCTAAATAGGCAGTGAAAAGCTCTGAATGTTAGTATCTGGACCAGGGGTGGGCAAACTTTTTGACTCGAGGGCCACAATGGGTTCTTAAACTGGACCGGAGGGTCGGAACAAAAGCATGGATGGAGTGTTTGTGTGAACTAATATAAATTCAAAGTAAACATCATTACATAAAAGGGTACGGTCTTTTTTTTTTTTTTAGTTTTATTCATTTCAAACGGGCCGGATCCGGCCCGCGGGCCATAGTTTGCCCACGGCTGATCTGGACCTTTGCAAATGGCCACTATTCCCAAGTACAATAGAAACTTTATTAATTCCAGGGTAGTTGGCCTGTATTGTTCTGTTATGGTGATTACTCATCTCTCAGTTTGCACTGTTTCCTTTATTGTTATTTTTTGGTTGTTGTTGTTTTAAAATATATTTTTATTATTGATTTCAAAGAGGAAAGGAGAGGGAGAGAGAGAGGGAACCATCAATCAGCTGCCTCCTGCACACCCCACACTGGGGATCGAGCCTGCAACCTGGGCATGTGCCCTGATGGGGAATTGAACTGTGACCTCCTGATTCACAAGTCGACATTCAACCACTGAGCCACGCTGGCTGAGCTAGATTTTTATTTTTCATTTTATTATAATTTATTGTTAATTATTTTTTTATGGGGCCAAGAATTAGCCCCAGTTGGTTTCTATTGCTTATAACAAAAGGAATGCAACTGCTACAAAAATATTGATGGGGAGAACACACATTGCCTGCAATCACCCCAATAAGACAACCTGAAATAATAGTCTGCATTCATGATAAGTAAAATATGTACTTTTGAAACATAACAAAGATCTTTTCAGTTTGTTTCTATTGTTTTTACCAGATATCATTATTGCCTGTATTTCAAGCTGAATCAATCTTCCCTTCTGAACCACCCAAATTGCCAGGGGGTGCAAAATAGAGAAGTCACTCTTGTTATGCTACTTGTAAGCACCAGTAATCTTTTAAAAAAATAAATATATATATATATTATTGATTTTTTTACAGAAAGGAAGGGAGAGGGATAGAGAGTTAGAAAAATCAATGAGAGAGAAACATCCATCAGCTGCCTCCTGTACACCCCCCACTGGGGATGTGCCTGCAACCAAGGTACATGCCCTTGACCGGAATCGAACCTGGGACCCTTTCCAGTGGTTCTCAACCTTCCTAATGCCGTGGCCCTTTAATACAGTTCCTCATGTTGTGGTGACCCCCAACCATAAAATTTTCGTTGCTACTTCATAACTGTAATTTTGCTACTGTTATGAATCATAATGTAAATATCTGATATGCAGGATGTATTTTCATTGTTCGCGAACCTCTGCTTAGTCCATGGGCCGACGCTCTATCCACTGAGCAAAACCAGTCAGGGCAGTAATCTTCTTTATGTTGCCTCCAAGTCCTCATTTGGATTGTCATGATATTTGCAATATTAGGGAGATTAAAGAAAAGTACTCCAAAGTTTCTAAGGAGAGCTATTTTTCCAGAGGGCTAATTGAAACAGAGTCCCTTTTATGCCAGGCTAACTGTGATCTTTTCTCTGCAAGCAAACAATAGTCTAAAGCTGTCATGGTAGCCAACAGTAAATGTTTTCCATTTGAGTTCTACTGATGAAATTTAATTTGATCCAAGTATACTAGCTTCTCAAAACCCTTACTCTTTCCTCTCTCCAGTCTCCTTCCTTTCATATGCTTGTGCCAATGGTTGCATGGTGGATATGGTTTCACCGATTGGCTGGAGTAGGGAGCATACAGGGAGAGTAAGGCCCCTCAATAGCTGTTTTGAAATTATAGTGAATCATGAATATCATGGTGAACATATTGTACCTAAATATAATTGTTCAATAGTTTTTTAAATCAAGATTAAGAAGTGGCATTTATATACTGCATATTATGTTTCTGGAACTATATTATCCTTGTTTCATATTTATGATAGGTGAGGATTCTATCACCTATGATGTTAAGTAAAATATTTAAGCCTGAAAAGATTTTTAAATCAATAGCAGACAATATGAATGCACTAGTCCACCTATATCTATCTTTTGCTTTCTGTAGTTTCAGTTACCCACCATCAATCATGGTCCAGAAATATTAAATGGAATATTCAACCAATAAACAATTCATAAGTTTTAAGTTGCACACTTCTGAGTAGCATGATGAAATCTTGCCTTGAACATGACTCATCCCTTTGGCGTATACGCTACCCACTGCTTAGTCACTTGGTAGCCATATCCATTATCAGGTGGACTGTTGCCGGCTCACTGTGCATGTGTTCAAGTAACCCTTACTAGTATACTAACCTAACGCTATGTCACAATGCCTACGTTATTCACCTCCCTCCACCTTATCACACAGGCAGTTGTAACATCTCACATCATCACAAGAAGGGTGAGTACCATACAATATCATATTTTGAGACTGCATTCATGTAACTTTTATTATAGTATATTGTTATAACTGTTCTATCTTAGTACTAGCTATTGCTAATCTCTTACTGTGCCTAATTTATAAATTAAACTTTATGGTAGGTATATATGTATAGGAAAATAGAAAATAGATGTAGGGTTCAATATTATCTGCAGTTGCAGGCTTCCAGTGTGGGTTATGGAATGTAGCCCAGCAGATAAGGGGGGACTATTGTATTTTACTTGTTCGGGGGGAATATATGCTGCCCATCTTTCTCTTCACTTCTCTTTTTTTTTGTTTGTATTAAATCTGTCATCTATATGTTTCTTTTTGCCTATTGGGATTGATAACATTTACATATCTAACTATTCTGGGGTTTGTCTACAAGTTTGACACTGAAATAGAAAATTCTTAAACAATATATACATTATTTAGACTATATAGATAATAGAGAAAGTGGTACAGTATGATTATGATTACATTTCCTTTTCTATTATTGTTTTTTTCTAAAGTTTATAATCCTCTCTGTCTCCAATATTTTTTTCCAAAATTGTCAAATATACTACTTGGTCATTGGAAACTTCATTTGCTAGGATACCTCCTGCTTCTGGTATTCCTTTAGCCTCTGAATTGATTGCTCTATAGGCCTCTTGCACAGCTATCACTCTGAGACTCCTGTGCATTGCATTAATAAGTTAGAGCCACTGTTTTTTAGATCCCATATCTTTGTTCCTTAACTTATTTCCTCCACTCTCAAGTATCTTTTAAAAAGAAAGTACCTGGGAAATAAACATACTAGCTCCTGCGTACCTGAAAATATTTTTATTCTACCTTTAAAGTTAATTGGTATTTAAGATGAGTATATAATTCTTGATTGGAAATATTTTTTTTTCAAATAACTTGAAAGCACTGTTTCATTATTTTTTTTTGTTTCATTTTATTTTAATAGTATTGCAGATGAAAAAGCAGATCAAAGCCTGGATTTCAATCTTTTATTTTATCCTCTCCAACCTTTGAATTTCTTCTCTTTATTCCAAGCTTTCTGTAATTTTATGGTGTTGTTTCTAGTTGTAGGCATTTAAAACATTTATTCTACTTATAACTTAGCAGAAAATTTCAATTTGAGGACTCATGGCTCTCTTTAAATGTTTTCTTTCTCCATTTTCTCTGAACTTTTTCTGTAACTGCTATTAATTAAATCTTGAATCTCTAGGTAAATTCTAAGTTTCTTTTTAAAAAAATAATATTTTATTTATTGATTACAGTTGATGTACAAAATTATATTAGTTTCAGGTATATAACCAGTGATTAGACATTTATATAACTTATGAACCCTGATAAATTTAGTACCCATCTGACACCATACATAGTTATTACAATATTTTTAAAAATATATTTTATTGATTTCAGAGAGGAAGGGAGAGGGAGAGAGAGATAGAAACATCAATGATGAGAGAAAATCATTGATTGGCTGCCTCCTGCATGCCCCCGACTGGGGATCGAGCCCGCAACCCAGGCATGTGCGCTTGGCCGGAATCAAACCTGGGACCCTTCAGTCTCCAAGCCAACGCTTTATCCATTGAGCCAAACCAGCTAGGGCATACAATATTATTAATTATATTCCCCACGCTGTACTTTACATCACCATGACTATTCTGCAACTACCAATTTGTACTTCTTACTTCCTTCACCTTTTCACTCATCCATGACCACTGTGGAGGATCTGCTGTGCCAGGACCACCCCCATAGAGCAGTACTCGCTTCAGCAGGACTCTGGTTGGTGCCTGCTGAGTCCACCCCTTGAATGTGTCACTTGTAGAGGTGATTGGATTTTGCTTCAATGTGTTCTGAAGCTGTCCACCATGTTCTGGGGCCTCCCAGGAGGTGCAAGCCAAGAACAACTGCTGCCTGTACACTGCTCGGGACCACCCAGCATGAGCTATAGAATGATATGCAGATGGCTGCTACTTGTGCTGGGCTTGGAGATACCCAGGAGAGGTCAAGCTGCAAACTGAGGTCAGTTGCCTATGGAGCTGGGCCTGGGGCTAATTAGCAGGAATACATGGAACACTGAGGCCAGATGCTGCTTGTTTGGGGTTAGTGAACCTTTGAGAGATTTTAGGAAAGTCCGAAGCATGAGCCAAGACAGGCCATTTGTCTTGGAAATGGCTTGGGTGGAACCCCATGTTGGGTAGGGTGGGTTCTCAGGGAATCACCGAGGCAGGGCAAACACTGTTGGCCAGGTTGATGGAGACTCAGATACGGTGCTTGCCTGCTGGCTCTGTTGGGGAGGGCTCAGCAAAGAAACAATGGCCTCTGTCACCACTTCGGTCTGAAAGAAAGCTGCCCCTCCAGCCCTTGTCCTGCAGCCCAGTTCTTCCCCATATGTTCCTGGTGCTTTTCAAGCGACTGCCCCAGTGCTAGAGCTCAGAGTGAGTGA